CATCTACACCTACCCCTTACAATAATGCAAAAACAGTAATTATTGTTGTACAGTGTGACAAAAATGGCACTATATAGATGTGCGCATGCCCAGTAGACGAATCTGAATACCATCTAGCCTTAACACATCAATTCTCTGGGTCGTCCTGTTTTGAAAGTCCACCTCTAGGGAGCAGCAGCCTCACAAGAATAATAAAACCTTTGGCAACAGTGTTGTTCCTCTCCTAAAAGTCTGTTAATATCATCGTCAATCGTAGTATTTGAAGTACTAACTGAAGTGTATTTGACTCAGGAGAAGCAGCAGCTGCAGAGGCATCTGACCCGTCCACCGCCTCAGTACCAGGACCAACAGAACCCGCAGGCCCAGCAAAACCCATTCCAGCAGCAGCAACAGGTCTCTCAGTTCACCGGTGTGCCGCTCTGCCTGGCCCAGCAGCACTCCTCCGGCTTAAGCGAGCACACCATCTCCGGTATTCACCTTTCTCTACTTGATCATCACTTGGCCCCTTTAACTCCTGCTGTTTGTTACATGTTGCATCAACAGGATGAACACACATGGGTGGATGCTAGAAATTAGAGTGGAATAAGAATAATTAAGCGGTTTGGTCTTGACTTGAGATTGGATCACATGAGTCAGATGTTAAACAGGTGTAAATGAGACCTGTGTTTTTCTGATTACGAGAAAAGTTCAGTATGACACAAGCTTCCTGGCTCTGTAGGTCAACACAAGTAGCCTTTTGTTACAAGTAAGCCCATCTGATTTGCAAGTGTGTTTATTGATAGACTCATTTGAATGACAGGCACACAGTAAGTTTAGTGTGTGGTGCCGTTACATACAGCAGCTATCGTTCATCTGTGAGTCTACTTTTAAAAGCGTAGTTCACCTAAAAATTGTCATCATTTATTCCCTCATGTTGTTCCAAACCTAAGAGACTGTGTTTTGAAGAATAATCAAATGAATATGTTTTAATTCAAATCAAAACTTGGACGATCCAAAAAAAAACAAAAAAATCATAAAGATGCCATGAACAGGTTTGACCTGTACACTCTATGTATGTGTTGATCATTGTTTAAATGTAAATAAAAGCTGAAGTTAAATCTGTTCTTTATATTAGGCAAACATATCTCTTCACAAGACCACTAAGGTTCATGTAGATTTGTTTCATGACGCCTTTATGACCTTTTTGGATCAAAGTTTTGCTTGGACTGTCGGGCAGTAACCTCTCTGGTTTCATTAAAATTATTTTAATTTGAATTTCAAAAATTAATAAAAGTCTTACGGGTTTGGAACAAAATGAGGTTGAGTAAATGATGACCGGAGCAGTTTTCCCTGCAAAGTGGAGCTGGTAAAATAAAATTGTGGCAAATGAGTTTAGAATGCTGTTTCAGTGTTGTCAGATCTTGCAAGAGAAGCAAGCAGCCTGGTCTTAAAAACAAGCCCGCACGCAGTAAGCGACTTGACTTATCAAAAATCTTGTGTACATGCTTGAGTGTAGAATGTTTCTGGTTTGGTTAAGGAGTATTGCTTAAAATCTGCATTAAATGAAAATTCACCCTATATATTTTCCAAATCCATTTTATTAGTCTCGCTGTGACCTAGTAATTGCAAGCTTATATTCATCTGCCTCCACTGCTGCGTGCCACGCCCACATCTTAACATCCAATCAACAGCTGATATATATAGAACCAAGTCCCGCCCCATAATCTTTTACACTCAGATGTACATTACAATATTGAAGAAAAGATCGGTGGCTTCTTCCATTTCACTTTAATTTCACTGGTCAACACTGAAAATATAAAAAAAATAAATAAATAAATTTTTCTAAATGGCAAGTTATGCCATGTTCTAATTGTGATTGTGTGCCCTACTCTATTTTAGGTGCATCTCAACCAATAGGAAATGTCAGCTCTCTGAGTGGCCCCACGCCTGGAACGCAACGGATGTTCTCTCAGGCACAAGGCATGATGGGAATGGGGGTTGGCCAGAATACTGGACCAAGCACTGGTCCCGCTCCAGCTGCCAGTCAAGCAGACATGAACCTCCCATCCTGTGGTCTCGACGTGCAACAAGTCCTCTACGGCAACATGCCCATGCATCCATCCCACCCCAACCAGCAGAGACCGTCAGTGTCCTCCATGTCTGCCGCTTACCGCCAGAACGTTCTAGCGGCTCAGCAACAAGCACACTTGAAAAACCAGCCCAATGCTGCTATGCTGAAACAACAACAACAGCAGCAGCAGCTGGCCCGTATGCCCAACAGCATGCCCAACGCCTTGGCTAATAACATGGGCTCTGCTATGCCCAGCTCCATGCCAACCAATATTCAAGGTGCCTTGCCCTCACAGGCCCAGTCATGGCAGCAGCAGCCCCAACAGCATCCAGGACTCCAGCCCGGCTCTGCTAACGGAGGCATGCCAGCAGGTTTCCCCAACTCTGGCTTTCAGATGCAGTCAAGATTGTCCAAACTTCCCAACAACACCCCGTTTCCCCAGGGAGGCATGGGAAATAGTGCAGCTGGTAGAACCCTGGCAGGTATGAATCCTGGACAAATGATGCCTAGCATGAACCAGCAACGGACCAATAACCCAGGCATGGCCCAACAGCAGGGGCAGCCGCAAGCGCAGTCTCAAACTCAACAGGTTCTGCCTGACTTGGGACCTTTCAGCCAGCCACAGGCCGGACCCAACCGCACCGCAGGACTTCAGTGCAGTCAGGCCTATCAGCTCAACAGGACAGCCAATCAGCAGCTCCAGTTTAGCTACAGTGCCCAATCAGGAAGCAGCTTGTCCGGGTTTTCTGCCGAGACCGACCTGGTGGACTCTCTGTTAAAGAATCCGACAACACAAGAGTGGATGGATGATCTAGATGAGCTGTTGGCTAGTCACCAATGAGTGATGGCCACAGGCCAATACTAGTGCCTTTGGTACAGGAGAAAACTTGTACATCCACATCACGTTTTCAGAGATGGTGAAACTGCTCATATCACGGTCAGATCTGCTGTGTTCTCTATTGAGTATGTATATGGTGTATATAATAGAGGTCAAGTAGAGCACAGAAGCCTGTGTCACTGAAGTATTCTCTGGACTGGAAATGTCAAAGAGAGAAATGCTCTACTACTGAACCTGTGGCTCAGTAAAACCACTGAATTTTCTTATGACAAGTGTGCGCTGAAACGTGTGTTCAGCCATCATACGGTTGTGCTGCCTATGTGTTTGCTGTAGGCACGAGGAGGCTCTGTTCAATGTCAGGAGTGTCTTGACGCTTCCACAGGCCTTAAATTTGCACTCTTGAAGATGCACAACATGTGATTTACAGTAAAACGGTCTAACGCAATAGTTAACTCAAATGAACATATTTGAATCATTTATTAACCATGTTGGTCCAAATCCATAAGACTTTGCTTCATGATGCTCCCAGCAGGGTTTAGCCCCAACCCAAATAAAACACACCTGAACTAGGTAATCAATTCTACAGGATCACTAGAAAACAGAGATGGTCTTTTTATAGGGAGATGCCGACTTGCATGGCTCTACTGTTGGAGGTTGAATGTTGATGTAACAGTCAACGTGGATCACGTGCCTTGATAACCAATCACATTATATCTGAATTGCTGTCAGATCTGAATGAGAGTCAGTCACTGATTATGGATACCATACATTGAAATAAATGAAAAATACAGCAAAAGCACTTCTGATGCAAAAGTGACTGAATTCTCTTCTAAAATCATTTTCATTGTAAACTCCAAAAAATGATTCCAAATTCCAAAGTGATTGTTTAATGGCAAACAATTTGATTCATATAGTAACAAGCTGCTCATCACAAAAGCCGTGTATTCAGAGTACTGAAGCCTCTTCTCCATCCAGAAAACGGAGCCTGTGTGTATTAACATTCTTCATTTTTATCTTCCACTAAAGATGGTCATGTGAGTTTGGAACGGCGTAAAGTGACAGTTCACCAAAACTAAAGTTGTCATCATTTAAGTTCCATATGGTTTATGTTCATTGGTTAGTTTCTCATTGACTAAATTTAGGAAGTAGATGCTTTATGGTTTGTTTACTCAGGCCGTGACCGCTTGAAGGCGTGTAGCTAAGACTAATAGTGAGGAGGATGAACTGATGAACTCTACAGTGCTCCAGTGAAAGTAGATCGCGTCATTAGACTTTCATGTTACACTACACTAAGTTGTGTTTGTTTTTTTTTCTCTTTTTTTCTGAAAAGCACAGAGCTTCTGTGTTGGTGAGAGGGTTAATATTCCTGTTTGTTTTCTCCCTCTGGTGTCTGATGTTACATTTGAGGGCAGGTCAGGTGCCGGTCCGAACCGCATTACCTGAACTCTCTCTCTTCATCTGAGATTCTGTGACAGGATTTCATGTATATTTATATATTATTTTGTATGTATGCAGTTTTTATTGTTCAGGAGAAGATAGATCTTATTTTTATATGTACATTGTTGCAAAATTTTGTAAGTATTTTATACTTTTTATTATTGTTCTCTGTAAAACAAGAGTATTGTGTAAATATAGTTCTCTAGAAACGGTCTTGTTTGGTGTGTGTATGTTTATTGTTTTATGCATGTCTCGAAAGGTTTGTGCATTAGCAACTAAGTTTTGACGTGTAATGAGTTTCAGAAAACACATTCCAATAAACATAACCCCAGCTTAAAAAACATCTTGGCACAAAATAAGTAATGATCAAAAAGCCGTGGAATAAAAGGAGGGCAAAGGCATCTTTTCAGAAATTATAAAGTTAGTTGTTACACCAGATTTTCAATGAAGTTTTGTTAAGACAACTAGCATTAATTTATTTCAAAGGTAAATGGGGCTGTTTCTCATTTACTTTTGTTGAATGCATCATTCATATGCAATATGTCTAGCAATATGTGCTGACAAATCTCACTAATAGTGATGTAATTCGGGTTATAGCTATGTCCCGCCCACTCTAGCCATGCTAATATAAGTGTGATTAAAAGAGCTGCCTGTGAGTGTGGTATGAACAGATAATAGAGGATAGTGTCGGACCTCACTGTGCACAGACATGATGCTGGAGCAGGTCGTGCTGTTAGCAGCCGTCACAGTTTTGGGATTGCTGGAACAAGGTAATTACCACATGATTGTAGATGGTCAATCAAATCAATATTTGTCAGTTTTGACTTTCATATGCTCAGAGAAACAGATTGCACTGTATGATGAAACGCGCTGGTGTCCTACATTAAAGTTATAGCTCGTGCTAGAATGGAGATAAAAATATCATACAAAAATAGGTTAAATAAAAGTTTTTACCTAAAAATGAAGATAAGGTAAAGGTGTGAATAATTACATTTTAGACACATTGTCAGTAATTTTACCAATGAAAATAAAGCCCTTGGAGAACCCTTGTGCGTCTTTGTTCAACACACAGCGGTGTTTCATTAATGAATCCACGTTTTTAAATTAATCGAGTGAATCGATGATTTAGTGAACCATTCATAAAGGCAGTCACTTGCTTCGTTTCTGAATGAATCAGCCATTTGAACGAATCGATTGAATGAATGACTCACTTAAGACAGGGATTTTCCGCCACCTACTGGCGCATTTAGTTTTATAGTCAGAGTATCGTTTCTTTTTCAAATAATTTCATATTTCACTATTTGTATGTTTTTATGTTGAATTAAAATATTTCTTTCTAAAGCTACTTATTTCAGCTACCTTTTTGTAATGTCTATTCAGTGGGTTTTTTTTTTCTAAATTAACACAATGATAACTATTATCTTTAATAATAACTTTATCTTTAATCGGCACATGTACATGTTAATTAATTAATCTCGTTAATTTGAGATTCATTTGATTAATTGATCGGCACATTATGTAATTACATACATAATGTGTTCTGCCCTCCCCGATGGTCACTGCGTAATTCGCACCCTGGGGTGATGGATATATTTTTAATGAAAAACCAAACATCCAGATTAAGAACAGTATATTTTGCAATGTGTGTTAGTAATTTCTTTACCTTCACAATCCGTCTGATCTGATGGAAGTGTGTTTACCGTCCTGTCAGCGTACTTCTCTCTGAAGGTGATCTCCGCGCGGAGAAAGCACTCGGTCTCTCCGCCTGCCACCACCGGACCTCCGGAGTTTGAGAGGGTCTTTCGAGCCCAGTAAGTCAGGCATCTGTCAACTGAGAGGAATGTAGATCTCGACAGGTTTAGTCTCATTTGTCATATTCTTGCTTTACCAGAGCAAACTGTTCCGAGTATTTCCCCCTGTTCGTCTTCTCGCTTTGGCTGGCTGGAGTTTTCTTCAGTCAAGGTGAGTTTCCCTGAACTGGAAAAGAAAGAAAGAAAAAAAAAAGAATTATCAGGTAGACTGATGTCAGTTCAACTTTGTGCTCACAGAACATATGAATTCATCTTAATAAAATGCAGAGACCACACTTTTATAGTTTGTGGTATTAATAAGTCACGGTCAAGCAGCTTGATGTGCTCACAAATATCAGTCAAACCAAAATGTATTCAGACAGCCTCAACATTTCTCACATTATCAGTTTATTCGCTAGAAAATGGTAATAAAATACGCTATGACAAGTTAAACTGTGTCAAAACAAATTAATCTTGATAATGTCAGGTAACTTTGATAGAAAGGTATGTAATTAATTCGGTTGAATATCTGTCAGCTGTTAAATGTAAGAACACAATTAGATAATACCAATTTAGGTCAACCAATTACCAAGCAATGCTTCATTTTGTTCAGTCTGTGGTGTAAAAAGATCGCATTAGCAATTAAAGAAAAGCCCTTACCCTGTGTCCCAACGAGCATACTATCCACCCTATCTGCCCTAAATAGTATTGAAAATTACTATCTAATAGAATTTAGAATGGATAGCATGCCCACTGGGACGCAGGCAAACATGGTCAGGTCAAAGTGTCTGAATAATGTTTGGTCCCACATTTGTATCAATTTTACTGGTAGTCCACTGTATGATGAATTTCTGGGTATAATACAGTTCACTTTATTTTGTTATCCTCACAGGACAACTATAGTGTCCTGCACCCACTAGTAAAATAATATCAAAAATTATATCTGGTCTCTGAATAATTTTTGGTTTGACTGTACATTCTGCTACTGGTGCAAGCACAGAAACACACTTGATTTATTTGCAGAAAAAGAGAGCATCTAGAATGTTACATTCGAAAGAATAAAAATGCCTAGATGTTCCTTCTGGTCTGTTTGGATGGGTTTATCGTGGTTTTTGGGCACTTGACAGACGTCAAACTGGTAGAGCAGCAAAATAGCTTGGCTGTGTTGAGCGAGCATCTAAACCAGAGACGTGTACAAAGGGGAACTTTCCCTCGTGAGGACTGTATAAATAATATATCTGCCTTGCTTTGGTTAGCTATATTTAGTCTATCTAGATTAAATGGCAAAAAAAAAAAACTCACATCTGACATCTCACACCTCTGATTTGCATGTAAACAAAAAATCCCTTGAAAACGTTTTATGCAAAACACTATGCCTGTTCTGTTGCTGTTGTGTTCTTCAAAAACACCTCGATTCAGACCTAAAGGAATAAATGTAAGCCTAAATTAAGGTGGTGATCAATATTAGGTTAAGTCAAGCATCGCAATTGCAATTACTTGGGTTTAGTGATATGAAAAAAACGCTCACACAGAAAATGACATGATGATTTTCTTGCTCTCTAGCATTGGCAGTAATGTTTGGGCTGCTGTACCTTTATGGACGGTATCTGTACTTCCACGGCTATGTGGAGTCTGCTCAGGGCAGGTGAGTGATCCAGCACTGTAGTTATGTTCATGTTTGCCCAGTCGTGCTGCTGACCCCTTACTGTCCGTTGGCAGACTGGAGCCGCTGTACTTCAGTGCAAAGATGCAGTGGATGCTGATCGCTCTGGCCGGGCTGGGGGTCGTCTGCACCATGACACAGGCTTATCTGGGACTGGACCTGCTGCACTCCTTTAGTCATGTTCTGGGCCTGACCGAACACACATGAAGGATCTGGACGCAGGTCTGCAGGAAGCTGAGGACAGGGAAGGCTTTAGCACCTGTAATGGAATAGGTGACAAAACCACAAAAATATGTATATTTTTCTCCTCTAAAGAAAGATTTATATCAAATGTATTTATATAAAAAAATGAATACAGGCTACTATTGATTGCTCCAGGAAAGACTCAAAGTGTGTGAGTTAATCTGCAGTGTACTCATGCAAAACCATCAGTTATTCAAATGTTTGCTTCAAATGTTTAATAACTGAATAGAAACCATTACTGTTAGTATTTTCAAATAGCTAAAATTAGTTTACTTAATATATTATTACGTTTATATTTCAACTAGAGGCTTTTAACTGATTTTTTTTCAATTGATGCATTAGGTGCTTTTGATCAATTTGATATTGTTTGACTAGATAAGGCATTTTATGCATCCTAAATACAGTTCAAATGTTTCACTTTTGGAATAAATTTACAAAAATTACAACTCAACTGGAAATGATGCACAATAAAAAATATTTTGCTCCCAAGTGATATTTAGTTATTTTTAGTATGTTCATGTTCACTGACAGTGTTGGTCCATTGGTAAGCAAGTACATTAATGCTAGAAATATCTTTATTGTAGCAAAAATCAATTTTTTCAAAAACCACAAAGAGACACTTCTATTTAAAACTGTTACCCCTGGGATGTATATACTGTATATATATATCATTTCCAAGAATCATTAAGTTTTCATTTCTACATAAGCATCTTTATAATATTTTCTGTTAACTGGTAATGTGTAAATGTATGCATTTCTAATCTATACACATTTATAAAACTCACTAGAATAATGTTAGAGACTGCATAAAATTGTCAAATTCCTAAAATGTTTGTCTGAATTGTTCGACATCTAATCTGTGTGTGGTGTTTTGTATTTTTGGACACTAGGAGGCGCTAGAACTTTGCAGATCAGTGCCAGTGAAGACTGTGAATTCTTTCTATTTCTCTTTCTTATGCATTTCCAGTTGTTCTTATCTGACTAATATGCTGATGAAAGCCAGGACATTTTATCTCACCAGTAGCTGTAATATTAAGCATTAACACACTGGAGGCTTCGCTGTTTAGAGGTGAAAATGTGTATGAAATCTTGTAGTGATATCTATCAGTGAGCAAAAAAAACATTTAAAATGAAATTCTTCAGTCAAACAAATAAATGTAGATTCCTTGGTCGTGCTCTTAAAATAATTATTGTTATACCTCTCAAAATTTATAATACAAATTCTTCCAGTTTGTATTGGAACCCAATGGCAAAGTCAGCAACTGCATGTGCTGCTAAAATTAGATCTGCATTCAAAAGCTTCAGCTGGAACGAATGTTGACATGTGTTCAGAAAGCTTGAGATGGAGGTAATAGTGATCATGTGTCTGTTATTAGGAGAAACTGAAGGAAATAAAGGCTTTCATGTGACATAAAAGAGAGAGCAGTGTGCTGCACATCTGTGTAATTTTGCCACTGTCTAAAGCAGCTAAATGAAACCATGTGGCATCATGCTGTAAACCCTTCATATATATAAAGTGTGCTGAGGGTTCTGCAATATTACCACAGAGATATGTGTCATGAGCATCCACCGGTCACATGTTGACACTACTGCAGTCTGCTGTACTGTACAACATGTGATTTTTAAAATATGTTTCACATTTTATTATTGGCATGTTACATTTATACATTTATGAATAATAGCTAAAAGCAGCAAAGCAGCATTCTGTATTAGCTGCAGCTGTCTAATGGTGTTTTTAGGGAGGGTGAGGACACAATAGTCCATGCTGCTGGTGATAAAGGCATGAGCTAGTTTCTCCAAGATTTGATAATGGTCTGTAGTTGCTTAATATGGTGTCATCCAGATTGCTCTTTTTCAGAAGGGGCTTAACAACTGCAGTTTTCAGGGCATTTGGAGAAGGCATTTAAGAGATCAGCTTCTAAACAGTTAAACAGACTTTGGAAAAAACATGTGGGAAGTGTGTTAAGGCAGCAGGCTGATGTTTTAAGATGCTGTGCTGTGCTGTTTCAGTTGCTTGGAAATCAGACATAGTAACTGCTTTCTGAAATTGCGGTCTAATCTGTCTGACCTCTGCTCAACCTGAGGATGTGCTGATCACCTTTCTGATATTACTGATCTGCTCAGAAAAGAAGGAAGCAAACTCTTTGCGTTTGCTGTCAGAGAGCATCTCACTGAGAATCTGACTTGGGGGGTTTGTTAGTCTCATAACAGTAGCAAAAAGAGTGTGTGTTGTTCAAGTTGCTGTTTATAAGGTTTGAGAAGAAGGTCTAGCTGTGGCTAGTTCCACACTGAAAGCATGAAGGCTTTATAAAAGTTATAGTGGATTTCAAATTTTGTCTTTCACCACATCAGTTTAAGGTAACTTAGTTGCTTCTCAAATGCATACAAATCTAAAATGGCATATGTGGTTTATAGGATTTATCTCTCTTAAGGTGCGCCCCAGTTCACATACTTACGCACTATTCTGTGGCGTATAAATAGTAATGTATTCAAACTTCCAAAAAATAAAAAGTGCACTTTATCTGGATGATGCACTTAATTATTGACAAAATAACCTTATATAATGCATACACTATGTGGTTGAGTACATAGTACAGTGCATAGTGTATAGTGCATCATTTGGGAAGCAACTTTATTTTCCACTAAGCTGCTGAGTTAAGAGTTGTTTCCTATAGCAGGAAAATCTCTTCTGAATGTTATAAATTCCTCCTTATCTATAGGTCATGTGCCAAAAACCTTTGGAAAGATCATTACTGAAACTGGATCATAGTGAATTTGCCACCTATCTATCAACCATGCTCCTTTTTGCAGATATTTTGTATCTATAAAGAATTGCATTCAGGTTTCAGGCCTTCTTCCATCTTAGCAACATTGCAAAGTTACGAAACACGTAATTTATTTCTGATGCAGAAAAACTAGTTCATGCAATCACTACTAGGTGGTTGAACTATAGTAGTCAACATTTGGGGTGGATCAAAAAAGTTCATCAAAGTTGTCCTAAGACCAGAACGCATTTTGGTTTGAGGACAACTTTAATGAAAGGTGAAATGTTGACTAGTGTACTTGAAATTATTAGTAGTTTAGCTTGCCAAATTGCACTTAAAGAAGCTAACACACACCCTCCAGTGCCAGTGTGTGGTTTAGTGTAATCATTGTTTCTCTTGGCTTGGTCTTATCAGCAACAGGAAGCAGAGAGCGGCTTGTTAAAGGTGTCATGTCGCCACTCGGTGACGCTGAAAGCTCTCATTTCCTGTAGCTGTTCTCAGCTGCTGCGTGACCCAAGTGAGCGAACGCCTAAATCAAATAGGTTTTCTATACTGTGTGACACTTTAAGACCCAAATGTTCTTATATTAATGAAATAAGATGTAACTGTGAATTAATTGTAATTAATCTGATACAAACCTCTGAACATACTGCAATGCTGCACACTGATAAATGGCTTTGAAACAATTTTCACTAGTAAATTTCACAAAGAATTACAAAGTAACATGGTTGATTAAATGTGGAATTTTTAAGTAGAAAGACTGTTTTACTCGTAAAACATAATTCAGTCATTTTGTACAAGTGTCTGGATTGATTTTATTATACTCACCAATGTGGGATTTTTACAGTACTGTGTGAGAAGCAATAGGGCGATAATCTCAGCAGCCCCAGAGGAGCCATTCATACTTCATTGTCTCTCTCTTTCTCCCTCGCTTTGGCTTGAACACACAGGTGCACGTTCTCTTTCAACTGACCTGGCCGCTTGGAGAGGAAGTTGTGTTTTTGGCCAACAGGAAAAAAATCATATGGGATTTTTGCTGCTTCCTGTTGCAGGAAACACGTTCAAGGATGCAGAAGGGGTGTGTGGGGGCTGCCTGTGTGTGTGTGTGTGTGTGTGTGTGTGTGTGTGTCAGTGAAAAGTCAGTGAAAGAGAATATACATCTGTATTACTACAAGGACAGAGCAAAAACTTTAACACTAATATTAGTTTCTCTACAGGGCTGTTGAAGTATAAATTAGCTGTAAACATGTTTATGCATTCATTAGCATATTTATGTATCAGTAACACTTTATATTAAGGTTCCCTTCGTAAAGTGTTTATAAAGGTGTTCAATTAATTACTTACTTGCCTTTATAAATGCATTCGGCCTACTAGACTGGATTCTGGGATAACCTTCTCTGTAGATGCAATTCTGCTTTAGAGTACAGCTTAAAAGGCTGCATCATCATCATCACTCTGAAACAGCCAATGCATTAAAGGGTTAGTTCACCCAAAAATGAAAATTAGCCCATAAATTGACTTTCTTCTTTCAGACGAATCCAGTCGGAGTTGATCTTGTCAAAGACAAAATTGTCTTTGATCTTTCAAGCTGTTTCATGGCACTCAGCGGGTGTTGCATGCTTCAGTCCAAAACAAGTTAAATAAAAAGCGCCCATCCATTAAAAAAAGTGTCTCACACAGCTCCGGGGGGTGAACAAAGTCCTTCTTTAGCGAATCAATGCGTTTTTGTAAGAAAAATATCCATATTCAAAACGTAATAATCACTTTAATGTAGC